AACATGTTTAACATATTGGTCAAGAGCTTTGGGAGAATATGATTTCAAGAATAATTTGGCCATGGAAGCATCATTGAATAGAGGGGTTTGTTAGCTACGTATAGAAAAAAATGAAACTCAATTCCGAGTTCAGACGAGCCCAAACAATCCCGAAACACAAAATACAAATCACCAATTAACAAATTCTCCATGGACCATATATTATATAATGGGTGATTTGTTAATTATTTAGCCCATGAGAAATAGACGTAGCCCAAAAATTGATCGGGCAATCATGGTTGTGTAGAAGAATCCATTGGCAACATATAGGAAGAAGCGGAAATCAATTTCGAGCTTGGACGAGTCCGAACAGGCCCAAAAAATAGTCGCGCGAAACACGTTTAATGTATTGGTCAAGAGCTTTGGGAGAATATGATTTAATAATATTTTGGTCATGCAAGCATCATTGAATAGAGGGGTTCGGTAGATACGTATAAGAAAAAAACGAAACTCAATTTCGAGTTCAGACATGCCCAAACGGGCCCGAAACACAAAATACAAATCACCCATTAACAAATCCTCCATGTCACATAACGTTTCATATTTTTAAACCACTAGTAAAGTGCACGTGCGATGCACGTGGTGTCGAATGATTTTCGCGGAGTAAGTTTGTAACATAAATTAATTTATTTATTAAACATATCATTGCATAAATGAAGTAAAATATAGAAAAAATGAACTCATATGTGATTTTTTTTGTTATGTAGAATTAACATAATGATGTCCTCATATAAAAATAGTGAAATAACGTTTTACAAACCCAACAAAAATATATATAAAAAAACAAATTCATAATAAAAAAATACAAAGATTTTCTTTCATTTTTGTTTTAACGTTCTCATAAGAACATTCATAGTCGTTGGAGTTCAATACATACATATTATTGTAAAATTCCTCTTAATTAATTTAGCAAAACGCCAATTTTATTCAAACACTTAAGAAAACATTCTGACCCAACATATAGTCAAACTTCATGATCATATGATCTTTATAACAAGGTACATCTTGTTTATACTCTATTATTAGTTCATGTACTTCTATTAACAAAGGATAAATATCTCTATGAAATAACCAACAGTGTCATTAAAATTGTTGATATTTTTTATCACTGTATAAACTACTATATTCCTCTATCTCTAGATATATTGGTGTCTACCCCATTGATGCATCGCCCCACGAGGTAGGAATGAATTTTATCTCCAAATAAAAGCTGACTTTCCAAAATCTTGGTTATATATACTTCTCCCGAGGTGCTAAATTATTTTTTGAAATCATCATACATTACCTGAAAGTACCTCTAAAGTAATTGCACATATGTTCAAGCACAATACACCAATGAGAGTATAAATATTTTTATAAAAAGTGACAACTTAATTCTAACATTCAAAACTGTTTTGATACTCGTACATTTCATTTTCAGTGTTATTTATCTAGAATATAGACGAACAATATAATCTATTTTTTGCAATGATAAAACAAAACAATGAGAAAATATTGAGAAGCATATCATTTGTTAAAATATTTAACAACAGAAGAATTAGAATTCCATTATATGACGATACTTTTAGTCATTTGTAAAGTTTATTATTATGGAGTCATGATTAAAATATACATCATGTATACAAATTTTAGATTTTTAAATTATTTAAAATTGAAAATAAATAATATATGATCATTATTTATGAGAACCAATTTCTTACAGAGTTCATATATTTAAACGCTAGCAACAAAAAAAGTAATAATTTTAAAAGACTTTTTGTTTGTCAATATTGGTATTCATACTTTTCTAAGAAAATTAGCATATTTTCTTTTTTCTCATTGCATTACTATTATATTATTTGTTTATTATTTTATAGACAAATA